GGGGGGGGGGAGAGAGAAGGAAAAAAGGAGGAGGAGGAGTAGGGGGCGATGTCAGTGCCACACACTGGCATCCTGACCAGCAACGTTGGCAAACACAGATAACTGGAGCTGGGGTGGTCCTTCCAACTGTCATTACTAAAAGATCTTGCCTTTCTTTTTGTTTTTCTCCAGAGTCCTGCAGAAGATAAGGCACACAATCAGTAACTGTATCTCAGTAGTACTTTACTTTTGGATCCACTGGTAACAAATACATGTATCACTTTCCTTGGGCTTCTTGTCATGGAATTTATCCTGACATAAAGTGTGAACTGTAGGACCTGCTATACACAGGCATGTGCCTTCCTACACTACTAGTTTTTGCAGTCTATGCCAGCCCCATAGTGTGTGAACTTATGCATGATATGAGAATGTCAACTTGCACACACAAGTTTTGGTTTGTTAAAACAAGCAGTTGAACCATGAAGTGTGACTACCTGGTGGCCTCCAGTTTCTGCTGCTCCAGGCGCTGCTGGGCCTCCCAGTTTGCTCTCTCCTCCTCGAACATGCGTCTCTTCTCCTCCAGGTCCTTGTGCTGAGCCTCCAGGTTCTTCTTCATCTGCTCATGACGCCGCTGAAGCTACAGAAACAGACAAATAGATGTCTATTAACTGAAGGTACCATCACATACACACATCAGTCAAAAGGCTGAACACAAAACATACAGTGACTTCAGGAAGTATTCGGATCCCCTCACTTTTTGCACCATTGGCTGTGTTGTAGATTTAATTTTAATGTTCTTGTTGGTCTTTGTTGACCAACATGTAAGTACATATGGGTGACAAATGAAAGGATGAACTAACAAAATGTGTGTTATTGATTTGTTGAGTCACCACGTGCCACCAGAACAGCTTCAGTGCAACTTGGCATTGACCCTCCAAGTCTCTGAACTCTACTGGAGGGATGAACACCTTTCTTCCAACAGATATTCCCTCATGTGGTGTTTTGATGATGGTGGTGGAGACGTCTAACGCATCGCTCCAACATCTCCCATAGCTGTTCAACTGGGTTAGACCTGGTGACTGTGAAGGCCACAACACATGATTCACATCATGTTCATCTTCAAACCATTTAGTGACCCCTCGTGTCCTGTGAATGGGGGCACTGTCTTCCTGGAAGAGACCACTCCCACCAGGACAGAAATGTTTCATCATAAGCTCAAGATGATCAGTCAGAAAAACTCTGTATTAATTGGCAGGGACCCTTCCCTGTAAGTAGTGATGTTATGCTCAACATGGTATTGACCTTTCAAAGCAGAAGTATTGTGGCACCATGTTTCAATGCCTTGCTTTACCAAGAAAAAAAAAAAGAAAAAAATCACAACCACCCTAGACAAGGCCTTATGTCATGTTTTGAATACTACATGTACTTATCAGTATTTACAAGCAGAATCATAGAATCGGTTTTTAAATGATTTATTTTCATAATACTAAACTTTAATAGTCCACTTGTAACTTTCCTGCAAGGTCTCAGATTTCTTCCACCCATGCAAATGCAGTATCAGGGGTATGGTCAGCAGATGGCACCAGCTCTGTAAAAATCTTCAACACAGCAAACCATTTTCAACACAGTTGCTTCATATTGATTCAATGCTTCACAAAGCCTTGGTTTATCCATCACTGGAAGGCCAGGCATACCCAAACCATGCCAGCAAAATGCCCCCCACAGCAGAACAAGGGGGACCCCTCAGCGCAGGGGGTCAGGAATTCAGGTTCTTCCATTGTCACATACAATCATATTATAATTCCATCTTTTCTTGATTTGAATATGCTTTGCAATAATTGTGCTGATAGAATTTCATGTTGTTATTCTAAATTAATTAAAATAGAAACAGATGGTTAATTGCACCAATGTGTTAATTATTAATAATTAACTAATACAAATGTGATCCCTCATAGACAGACAGTGCTACAGTCTGCATGTTGCACATTTTCATAAAAATAGTTCTTAACTAAAAATCTGGTTTTAGGGGATGCATAAGTAAAACACAGGTAAAATGATTAAATTACACAAATCCGCTACAAGCCCTCTCTCACTTCCAGCCACTGCAACACATCAGCATGAGAGGAAGGAAGGGGCCCTGACAGGTGAGTAACCCGATAAGATCATTAACTGCAGTATCTGCCAACCCAGGTGTGTGTGTTTTACCTCTGCTTCGGAGTCTTTGAGCTTCTGCACTTTCTCCTTGACTTTCATCTCAAACACCTGCTCCATCTCCATCTCCATTTTCTCCATCTTAGCCACGTGCTCTCGCCTCTCTTCCTCCATCTGGGCCAGAGGACTCCTGCATAGGGAGTGCAAAAATAA